TCCTCCCACAGAGATGGACAGCCTGGGAAAGTTGGGTTACACAAAGCCCAGTTAAAGGCCCTGGTATTTGAGGTCACCTGGCCACATGCTCAGTTCTGTGTGACGTGGCTGAGCCACTTGACCTCCCTGAGACCGTTTTCTCATACACACTGGGCCGTGACCCTGGTCAGCTCATGTTGTTTTGAGGCTCGAGGTACAGCGAGTGTCCGGGGTGTCAGCTCTGACTTGCCCTCGACTGTTAATGTGCCTCACTTGGAGGGTTGAAACAACTGCTGCTCACAGCGGACGCCTCGCCTGGCCCCCCTGACTGGCTGCCCTGCACATGTAGCTTTTAACTCCGCGCACAGCCTTCAAGCCTTCCCGTGCACCAGTCAGGCCAAGTGCAAACGGCGTGGAAACCTGGAATGGCCGGCCCCCTCCTCTTGCAGTAGCAGCAGTCGCCCAGGGCAACTCCCACGAGGTGGGAGGTGGACACACCTCCTCATGCCAAGCTTTTAACCCTTTCTGACACCATGACTCTCTGCTCCCTTGCCTGGTCCAGTGATTCATTGCAGGAGCCCCAGCAATAGCACTCCCAATTACAGGACTGATTAGGGAAGTAACAGGTTATAGCTCTGGGTCAGAAATGCTCAGGATACAGCTCTCTGGTCAGTACACCTTCTCAGTTGTGCCTGCAGACAGGTGTCCTCCTGGACTTGGCCCCTCACTTCTTCAGCCCCCTCGGGCCACTCGGTCAGCTGGGCCTCTCCCCTGCAAAGACATGTTTTAACAAAACTCCATAGTTTCGCTAACAAGTGCCGGGACCGCCGCAAGCCTCGCTTCCAAGACACTCCGCTTCTTCTCTGCTGGCTGGTTAGCCAGTGCGCCAAGTGCCCAGAGGTGCCCGCTCCACCAGCAGGTGCCCAGTGTGAAGGAGCTCCGTGCTGAGGGAGAGCCCTGCTGCTGCCCCAGCAGCTACTGTTTCCCACTGCTGTGCCTGTCCCTGATGTCACAGCGCTCGGGCTCCCTGGTCTAGGACAGCGGTTCTCAACCTGTGGGTCGCGACCCCTTTGGTGGTTGAGCGACCCTTTCTCAGGGGTCGCCCGATTCATAACAGTAGCAAAATGACAGTTATGAAGTAGCCACGAAAATA